CTGCATGCACGCGTGTAAGATACGCCTTGCATCATCTGTTGATCACAATAAACTATTCAATCACTAAATTCATATTCATCGTCCCGAAGCTCTTTTCCCCTCCTTCCCGCTGTGTGCGTGGGTGTTACCCTCAAAAAAACAAAAACAAAAAAAAACATGAGGAAACTGAAATGAGAGACGCACACAATAAATGAAACCTACATTACACAGAGTCCGTCCAAAAAAGAAAAAGAAAAAGAAAATAAAATAATAAACCGGGTTTGTTTGTTCGTTTGTTCTTCCTTTTTTTTCTTTTTTTATCCTTCAAAAAAAGCTCCAAAGGAAAAGTACACCAATAAACAGTGGAGTCAATTCATTTCCGTTTCTGTCATTTTTGTTTGTTTCTTCGGCGCTTGCTTGTTTTGTTTTGTTTTTCCCTTGTTGTTGATGCAGATGATGTTCCCTGCACTGCACCCGCAGTTTTCTCTCCTCTCCTTCAGTTGCTCGCCCTCAGTACTTCGCTCTTAGGTGGTAATGCCGCTTCCCGCACGCGTGTCCCTCCTGTGTTGCTGCTGCGGCTCTCCTGCGTCAGCCTCCACCCCATCAGGGGGGTCCAAGGTAGCCTCGCATGAGCTCCGAGGATACGACGGACAGGTCCGCCGTTTGGGCGCCGATTGTTGCCATTGACAACGGCAAGGCGGTTGTGGCGACGGCCATCGTGGAAGCAGAGGAACCCGAGACCCGTCCCATCCCCGGGGAAGCGCACGGCATTGCAATTATGTAAGTGTTTGGAATACCTGGAAGCGGTGTAAACTGATGTTCCATGCTTGGAACCATATTGTATTCCGCGTGCTGCGCCGATAAACCCGGAATGGCCCCTGGCGATGGGAATGCCGAGTAGGATTGCGGAGTCGCCATGGTGGCTTGACCGAGAAACGAGGAGGGAGCCGTCATAGCTGTGTACGACAGCGCCTGCAAGAGACCACCCCCTGTGTCACTAGGAACCATGCCAACTGCGGGCCACTTGCCGTAGTTTGAAAGAGGCATGAAGGCAATGTTTGACTGAGCGGTGCTCGCATCGACGATTCCGACGGGTGACAAAAAATTTGCTGTGGGGGTAACAAGTGGGTCGGTGACTACAGAGGTTCGTTCAGAGGAAGACAGTGGCTGCATCCCTGGCGTTGCTGTGAGGCCGTCATTATTCAACGGGGAAACGTGTGGTGGGGTTCGCTTTTCATGCGCCAAACGACACGCCAGTGTACGCCCCTCAACAACAAATCCATTCAGAGTCACAACACAGACAGTCGCCATTTGTTCCGTCTCAAACAACACAAATCCATGACCACATGGCAGGCTCGTTGTTGCATCACGTACCACTTTGGCCCGTAGGACTTTTCCGCACGTGCCACACAGCCCACGTAGTTTGTCCGTATTCCAGTGCAGGGGTAATCCTTGAATGAACACATTGCGACTTTTACGCAAGCCTGAAGGCGCGCTTTGCTCAAGCGCACTGTTGCCTTGCCCAGTTTGTGAGATTGGGCAGGATGCCTCGAAGGACTCCGAATTGCACGGACGCGACGATTCCAAAGAGGCTTCTTGCGGAGTAATAAAGCCCATGGAGGGAGTGACATTAGCGGTGGTACAAGGACTCCACGAAACACTCTCAACGTGGGCAAAAGAAGGCATTGCCCTTTCATGTGCCAGGCGGCACGCCAAAATCTTTCCAGCCATAGAACAGTTATTAAGGGATTCCACACACAAGGTTGCTTGCTCCTCAGTTTCAAACATCACAAAGCCGTATTCGCGGGATTTGTTGGTTGCCCCGTCATGCACCACCTTGGCAGAAATGATAGTTCCAAAAGAACTACATACGCTGCGCAGTTTTTCCGTGTTCCAGTGTGGTGGAAGTTCACTGACGTACACGTTGTTACGCACCGAGAGTCGCACAGTGTCACCCGTCGTCGATGCTGACTGAGAATTTGTTGCCACTGTATTCCGTGTGGAGATCGGTGTGACCGCAGTTGACACCTTCGCCGGCATTACTGCGCCCGCCTCTAATGTCTTGGTGGCGATGGGGGATCCCGTCGGGGTCGTCACGTTAGGCGCCGTCATGGAGGCAATGGATGTGGCGGGGTCAGTTATCCAAGCGCCCGTGTCGTAGGTGTTCCCACCCTTTCCGCAGCTACCCAGCACTTGCCGATCGGAGGTGTTGCTTGTCAGCGACTGAGAAAAGGGGCCTGTGTAGGTGTTGAAGGTAGGAAAGCGTTTTGTGTCTGCCTGCACGTCGCTGCCTCGCGATTCCACTTCAGCGTGTCCATTCTCATCGCCTATCCCGCCCAAAACGTCGGCCAGCTCGTCCGTCTTCAGAAATAGTTGTATGGAGTCGTGACCCTCATTGTTGGCGTAGTTGCAGCTGGCGCCGTTCTCGTCATCCACGATAGTGCCGAGGAAGCGGTCCATTTGCCTCTGGTCCCTGTGCGTCTGCGGAGGTGGAAAGGGCCCAAACGGTGACGATGATGATAGACGGAGCGTATGCAGCCCAAGGACCGGCCAGAGGCAGAGAACAAAAATAGTAATATATACAGATGTAAGACAAAAATAAATAAACAAAACGCGCCCCCTCTTTATATGTATCCCTCTGCACAATAAAAACAAAACAAAAAACTTTGCACACAGAAGGCAAAGACTTAATGAAGAAGGCAAAAGTGAACTATAAAGAAAAAGAAGAAAAAACTACCCTCCACTTCTGCAAAATCAACGCTAGACGATCCTTCCAGTGATAGCAGGGATGTGTATGAACGTGCAGTATTATCGCCGCTGATTCACACCGCTGGGCGCTTGAAAAAATGACAATCTTTTTTTGTTTGTTTTTCCTTTTTTTTTCTTTTGTGTTATGTTTTATTTTCTTTGTTTTCTTTTTTTTTTATTGTGTGTGTGTGTGTGTGCACGTTAATTCCCCTGCTTTGCACGCTGTCAACGTGTACTCCGAGATGATTGTTTCTCTTATTTTCCCTCTCGTGCAGAAATATATGAATATACCTCTGTGTGGGCGAAGAGGGAGAAAGTGGGGTGATGGGAGCGTAATCCTTCTCCCTCCCTCGCTACTCACCGGTGTGTTTCCGCTTGGTTTGGCTTGATTCCTTCCTTCGTGAGGATGGTGGGCGTAGATGCAATAAAATATGGTCCTTCCTTCCTTCCTTCCTTCCTTCCTTCCTTTGTTGTTGTTGTTTTTCGTCTCTTTGTCTTTTATTTCCGTGTGATTCCTGACAACTAGACTGCCCCTCGACTCCTTTTGTTGTATTTTATGCTTTTCTGTGATGTGTAGTGGGGGGAGGAGGGAAGAGGTTGTGTTGTTCGCGTTCCCCTTGCAGGCTACCACTACTTTTGTTCTACACGCAGGCAAAATGCGTCACTGGACGGGCAATGACAGCGAGAGAGAAAGAGAAAAAAAAAAAGAAAAGAGAGAGAGAGAGAGCATGCGAAAGAATAAAATAAAGTAAAACATTGTTATTGTTGTTGCCCGCTGCCAAAGAAAGACGCAGCCCATTTTTTTCTTGCCAGCACCAATGCAGTAAGTAATCCGACAATACATTGCGGGCGCGTGCATGAGTACAAGGCAGAAACAGCAAAAGAGAGAAGAGTATAAAAATACGCATACAGATAGCTAAGAAGTTAATCCTCGGTCTGAATACGCGCAGCGAGGGCGCCAGCATTCCCAAAGAAGAAGAAGGTCAGTGAAGTTTTAGAATGACATGCATCCACAACCACACACAACCGCACACAACCGCACACACATGCACACACACACACACACACACACACACACACACACAGCCAGAGGGGTGCTCCGTACCATTACTCCCTTCATTCCTTTCTTGTGTGACACCACTCACACGTCCTCACCAAAGAAAGTGCGCAGAGAGAGCGTAACGCTGCCGTGTCAAGAGCATGCGTGAAATCTCCCGCAGTCGCCAAAGCATCTGAGTCGCCACGACTTCTTCAGTGTAGTTTGCCAGAACACTTTGACGTGCACGGCGGCCCACCTCCTTTGCTAAGGCGGGATGATCAACGACGTATCGCATCAACTCCGTCAGCCCCGTTAGGCTTGGTATGGCGTACTTCTTGCCAGGTGCATAGCCGTACACGCTACCCTTGGATAACTCCTCCAGGCCGTCCACAGAAATGAGGAAGGAGTTATCGCGCCGGCAAAACGTTGTGGGACCCCCCCAGTTTGTTACCAGCACGGGTAGCCCCATCGACATGGCCTCCATCAGTGGTATGCCCCACCCCTCCGCACGTGTGGGCAGCACAAAGGCATCTACAGAGTGATAGATGGACAGCATGACGTCCTGCGAGATGGTCCCCACACCGATCAAAACAATGGGCGGAAAGTCCTCAATGGTGCCGTCAATCCCCGCTGTATGCTGCACCCATTTATTAATGAACGTGGGAAACGTGTGGTAGCTTACACCCTCAGCAAAATGCCTAGGAAAGGTGCATTTAAGGTACAGCTCCACATCCTCATGATGTGGCGTGCCGGGACCAAAAGCCTTCCAGTACGCCTTCAGCAAGACATCCCACCCCTTGCGCTGCTCCCACTTAAAGACACTCAAAAACCGAAAACGCCGTTTGCTCGCGTTCCAACTCTGTCGTTTCCAGGGATTCCGCACGTCTCCGTGGAGTGGGCGGTTGATCCATACCCCCTTTCCCAGCGTACTGACTAGCGATGCCAGGAAAGGCTCCTGTATTGGCTTGCAAAGAGCTGGGTCAAACAAAAACGGGTCAATCGACTCCGGGATGATGTGTATCATGCTAGGCCGCACACCGGAGCGACTGTACACAGACTGGAAGAAGAGAGAAGGCACCCATATCTCGTCAAGGTTTCTGTGGATGCGATTTACCTCCTCTGGAGAGATGCGAGACATTTCGGTGATGATGCGACCAACAGCATACACACCGTTTGGCCTTCTTCTGCCAAAGTTATCTAGCGCCGCCCCTACACCGCCGTGAAACAACGCCACACGCTGCATCCGTGGCACCCGCGGCAGCAAGGCACGTGGCTCTTTCCAGTGTGTTCGAATAAGCCCATCCATAACGTACCAAGGCAAACCCTTGCACCATGAACAACGCGAGAGAGACATAGAGAAGGGCGCCCCCCATGACTGCAACGGTGTAAGGTAGTGCACCATTTCCATCATCATGCCGCAGCACGGAATCCCACAGTAGCCCCCGTACACTGTGACGTGTATCAGTTCACTATTCGCGGTCACCGCAAAGCGCCCTCCGGAAAAGGTAGGGGCATTGTACTTGACTGGTTCCCATACGCCGCGTGCTACGCGCTGACGAATTCGCTTCGTCAGAAACATACCCCACCGATGTGCCTGTGCTGGGGACAACGCATACGACGGTCGTGCGGCACTGAGAAAAGCAGATACTCGACAGTTCTCCGCCTCCGTCAGATAGAGGCTGCACCCCAGGCCCAACCCATGCCAAGCGACGGCAATCGCTGTGCTACTCCAAAAACCCAAATCGGGTTGCGCTGTCGAAATTCGGAATGACAGTTCCCATCCCATGTGGCTCGGTGCCGCAGCCCTCAAGGGGCCAAGCACACCACTCCCATGGGAGGGCACAAAACCCCCTGCCTCATCAAACAAATCGCGCCGCCATAGAGCACAAAATGGGGAAACACCATCCAGTGGCTCCTCCCATCCCTGGACTCGCCCATCACGTGCGTCGCGACCACGCAAAGGCTGCGTCAGAAAGAAGCGCGTCACGGCGGCGGCTGCCGTGGAACCAAATGCCCCTCGAACACCCCTGTCAAGCACCTCATAACGTCTTAAGTCGTAAAGTCCTTCCTCCTTAAATTCTCTTTTCTCGGCAGAATGATTCTGCGCACTGTTTTCGGCTATGATTGTGCACTGAACGGCCGCCACACGGCTGTTATTGTGACGCAGCGGTGACAGCAAACGCTGAATAAATCCTGCTTCTCTTGCCTCTTTCTCAAACTCGTGCGCAGCGCCGTCCCTCTTGATCACCCCGAGCGGCACAAGCGAGTCAGCAAGCACCGCAAAGTATGGTGTTCGTGTACTGCAGGCCTTTAATCCAGCCTTCACCGCGGCGTCGTACAACCACTCTTCCGGCGTCACATCCTTATTTCCAATGCCACTAAGACATACACGCGTTCTATCAGCAGCAGAGGCTACAGGCAGAAGGAGTCGCACCTCCGCGATGCGGCAGAATGCAACTGTCTTGTCTGAAATGGGTGTTTCCATAGAAGAAACGGGGAAACGCCAGTGCGACCAGACACAATTTTTCACCTCAACATCCGCTTCTTGTCGTGCATCCTTTTCATTCATAATTGACCGCAACGAGCCTTTCAAGGCGACTAGTTGCACAACAACGACATTCAGCATGGAATGAGACGAGGATGAGTTGTTCGACGCACACAACGCCCTCACAAGCGGGGAGGTGTGAGAAACAGACTGGTGAACGAGCTCCAGTGCGTCTCCACTGGTTGGCATGACAAGTGTCACGTAGTCGTTGCCATGAAAGGTGAAGATGCCGTTTTTGGCCGTCGTCATGTGTGGGGCAAAACGATGCATATTGTCCGTCTCATCGGCTCTTCCACTGAGGTCATCGACAAGCCAAACCAAAAAAAGTGAAAGTAGGGAGAGCCCTAAACAATAAAAAAGCACCGCAGTGAGACCCTGCCTCAGACACGTGATATGTTTCAGACATGAGAGTAAACCTGTCCACCGTGGTCGCTGACTAGAACCTCTTAGCTCCAACTCAGTCATCCCTAACTGTGGATTATTGTGCGCGTTGTCCGAAGGCTTCATCCGCTCACGCACAACAAACACATCGGATTCTAATTCCATCTTTTTCTTTGAAACGATAGAAAAATGTGAATTTCCTTTATTCTTCTCCATTTCCTCAAGCAACACCACGTGGGCGCGCAGCTAGGCCCACCGGCAAAAACAGAGCTGTTTAGGCTTCACTGCTCTCTTTAATAAAAAGATGAGAAGGGAGAAATAGCACATCATGCTGTCGTCGCGATCGCACCTACATGTTGTAGGTGTATGCAGGCATTCATTCGGCCCCGCACAGGGCGAGAGCGAATCCAGTACGACTCCTTGTCGCCTCTACCGCAATTAGGTGGCAGCAAAAAGGCAGACGCGCTAAAAACGCCTTCTGCCCGCCACCTCCCGAGCGGAGGCGGGGCGGGCCCCCAGTGCCTCCCTCTCCCGACAAATCATGCGCAGTGGGATAACACTGAGAAGAGGAGTTGTTGCCGGGCACCTCGGCCAGACACACGCAAGGCCAGACCCTTCCGCTAGTATGCTTCCCAAGCAGAAATGGGAAACAAGAACAGGCAAGCAAGCAACCCACCAAGATAGGTTCACGCGTAATAACAAAAGAAAGCAAGTATGCGTTTTGCTAGATGATCAAAGTTGGGGAAGCAGACTGACTTAAAAAAAAAAAAATTTAAGGAGTCTGTCCAAAAGTAAATTCACATTAAATCTAACGACGGGTCTCTTTCTCTCGGAGCAGCGTTGGATTGTCCTGCTTCCGCCCACTGACAGTGGCGCCGCGGCCTCCTCCTCCACAACAAGCACCAAATGAAAAGAATGAAAGTATGCGCTTCGCCACGTCCCTTGTCTTTCCGCCACGTCGGCGTGATCTATTGCTGATCTCTTCCGCGTGAAAGATAGGGATGAAGGCAGTGTCATTAAAATCCTCTGCCATCCTTGGCGCCACAGAAAAACTCGTGAATTTCTCAGGCGGCCCCACTGGCAAAGGCCCCCCCTGGTGGGAGGCACAAAGAAGATTGTCCCTCCCTTTCACTCCTTTCCTCTCATCTGCATTCTCGTCCTCCTCTTCTCTTGTATTACTCCTCAGCAGCACATTCGTATTTCCATCCTCTCCACTCCACGTCTCGACCGTAGTCGTCACTTCAGTGGAAGAAAACGTAGATGAGGTGGAGGAGGCTGTCAAGTCAACGTGGCTTCCACTAGCCGTAGGGCTCTCAGAGCACGTGGACGAAGAATACAGCGAGCCAGCTGATGAGGATGTGGCTAAAGGCGAAGATGCAGATGTAGATGTGGATGATGACGATATAGTGGGACGGAAACGCCTCAAATCCAAACAAGAAACCAAGTTTTGAAACTTCTCCTGTTCCTCCCTCCTCTTTTCTGCTGTCGCGGTTACAGGCCGCAAACAAGCCTCTCCATCCATGAGGGCCTCCCTGTCATTGTAACCCGTCACCGTTGTTTGCAGCCCCGCTTCTTGCTGCCGTTGCCGCTGCCGTCGTTGGTCTTGGCCTGGTATCCTTTGCAGCCGCATTCCAGACAATTTAAAGGCCTCAAGCTGCACGGAAACCGGTGGAGGGGGCGGTAGCAAACGCCTGAAGAGACACTGATGCTTCAAGGCCGCTGTGACAGGGCACATGACGTCCGCTTTCGCCTCTTTCGAGGCCGCCAAGAGCGACTCCACCTCTTCTTCCTCCCGCGGAATACACAGTGCCTTATTTGGTGACAAAAAAAGTCCACGAAAGTTACTTGCGCCTGTTGACTCCCAACAGCCCCATTCACCTGCAGTATGAAGCACCGCAACCGTAAGCTCTTCCGTCTGACGACGCAGCACACAAACCGTTGAAAGAAGTTTCAAAGCACGCTGCTCTTCGCCTGTCAAACATCCTCTACCCAAAGCAGGAAGTTGGGTGTCAGCTGCAAGGCCTTTTTCCTTGTTGTTCTGTTCGCGTGTGTGCCGAATACGGCTGTTATAAACCTCGGTCGATGCCGTAGCAGCTTCCGTGGCCAGGCTTGGGTAAAATGACGTGAACTCCCCATGGTCTACTGGGGGCGAGACTGCAGCAACCTCCTCCGTGCTACTGCACCGCTTTCTAGCGTATTCGTCATCGTCATCGCCGTCGACGTTGGTATTTGCTTCGTTGACGTTCAGAAGCACCTCTTCTGCAGATAGGGCCGTTACTCCTGACGGTGACTCCACTGCAGCTGGAGCCTCGGCCTCCAGCACCGGCACGGCCGCTTTTACGCAAGGCGGTTTACTTGACGTACTGGTTGACGGAGAGCTGTCGGACATAAACTTGAACTTCAGCATCTTCAGTGCAATCTGCGCCCCGCTTTCGGCGGGAGTGGAACCGTCGGGTGCGCCTCTAGTCTTCCCCTCGGGTGGGGAAAAAAGTTGTGAAAGTTTCGAGTGCCGTGGTGGCACGGCAGCAGGTGTCAACGTCGGCTCCGTGAATGTGAAGGGCTCCCACACCCGCCGCATGACCTCGTTGTAGGTGCGCCGCTGCAGCTCCATCGCATACGCCAACCGCATCGAATGTGATATAATCTGCTTCACCGCCGCGCGGCACGTATCGCGTCGTCGGCGGCAGTCCCCCTCCCGCTTTACCAGCTCCATGCGTTGTGCCTCGTGGCGCCGTCTATAAAAGTCGTGTGTTTCCATGTCACCCGCACAGTGTTCCTTCTGCCCACGTGAAGCCGTTGGCATGGCGACGGCTTCATCAAAAACACCGGCGTTGCCAGTGCCCGTACTGGCATCCAATGCCGTTGCCGTCGGTGGGCTATTGCTGCCTGCCTCCTCGCTGCCGGCAACCCAAGAAGATGCCGCTGCCGGTGAGGACCCCACCCCCGCAGCAGCTAGCGCCGCACCAGTAGGCGAGTTACGACAGTTGGAGTTCAACAAGTTCCACGTCAAGACGCTGTTTGTCTCAGATTCCCCTGCCGAATGCCGACGTATACTTGAGAGACCCGAGACATGTGGCACGGTGCCACGTGCTCTCTCCTGCTTCCCGCCCGCCATGGCCGTTGCAGCATTTGCCACCAAGGAAGAACTTAAGCATGCCCGTTGCTGCGGCACGATCGGGCGCGGAGCAGCAGCAAGCAGTTCAGGCGAACGACTCAATGCGGAATAGCTCTCTACCAGAGCAAAGCGGCGCTTTGCTTCCTGCAAACGGTCGATGGCGGACACTGCCCCCAATGGAGGTAGTGCCCCTACTGCTGCTGTCATTGTCGTCAACTATCAAGGCCGCCTCTATTTTTTAGTTCTTTAGATGAATCCAAAGTATGTTTTGGTGTTGCCGCGCCGCCCCTTTTTTCTTCCCAGCGCCTCCGCGGGGTCCCTGCAGAGACCACGTTGCGAAGGTCCACACATAACACCACCGATACTCGAGCGGCAAAAACAGAACAAAAACGCAGCAGGGCAACAGAAAATGGCGCTTCACGCATCCAACGACAAGGAAAGCGGGGAAAAAAAAAGGGGGTAAAGAAGATTTAAAAAAAAAAAAATGAAAACAACAGCAAAAACGGCAAAAGAAGAAATGTGCATAGCCCGGAAGGGAGGGGAGCAATGGATGGATGCAGGCCACACACACACACACACACCCCTATCATCACTCGTTTCCCTTTTGCTGTTGTTGTTTTTTCGATTTTTTTTTGATTTGTTTCTCATCCTTTCTGTCACCCAACACTCAGCAGCGCGCCAACTCAAATTCTTCCACATCGTAGTAGAAGGCAAATAACATCATCGTTGCGCTCAGAACAATGCAATAGTGCCAAAGAGTGTGACTGTTCCACATGTAGTCAAGCTCCTCGTTTGACACTAAAAACCGCCCCACCCACCCCCAAAAACGTGACACGGCCGTCGCCAGCAAAGATGATGACGCCGGCAGTGGCTGCGTGGCGCGGCGTAGCTGCCGCTCGGGAAACCGAAACCCACCCATGACTCCACCGAGTGAGATAAACATGTAACTCATCGCATGATAGTAAAACGCCTGGTGGTAGCCCTGGGACTGCACCTTGGGCAACTCGATCCACAGGAGAACCGAAAGACGAAGAGCGCAATGAAACCCAATCGCCTTAAGACGCCCCAACGCCCCACAGGAAGCATTAAATAAAACACAGTAGAGCACGAACAGACCTGACAAGAGCACCGCCCCCAAGCCGGCATGAGATGTCCACTCTGCACTACACGCGTTGCCTCTGTAGAGAAAGCTCCAAGAGGTGGCAGTGATGCACAGGACGACGCCAAACACGTCACAGTTCAGCAGGCGTCGATATGATAACTCTGAGGTGGAGCAGGGAATGAAAAGGTGATACACCACACTACAGATGAATATCGCGAGAAACACAAGGCAGGTGATGCGAAACGCTGTGGTAGAGCTTGCCCCAATATGATGCTCGCTGCTCGTGCCCAACCATCGCCGCTCATACAAAGGCAAGACGACACTTGTGGCAGCCACGCCATCGGCACTGCTAGCACCAACGGTGGTCGTCGTCGCTGCATCCATGGTAGGTGGGAAAAGCATCAAGTAAAACACAAAACATGCAGCAATGGCATGTGTCCAGACGTTAAACGACTCATTGTGCCAGGTAAAAAAAGAACGCAAAGCACCACAAATAGTCATGCGAGGACGATAGCCGGAGACAATGTAGGGATTAAACTGTAGCCATGGATCCACCTCTTGAACCGTTAATAGCTCAGACATTATCACCAAAGTAAAAAGATACTACGTATTTCCCCTTCCGTGACGACACAGTTGAACCACCTAAACTCGCCAGCGGACGCAAAACAGGCACACGCCGAGGGAGAAGGAATAAACAAAAACAAAAAAAGGAAGGAAAAAAAAAAAACGTGACATTCCTCGTACTCCATGGCCTTCCAATAAGAGTGAATCCAGCCCACACAAATGCATGTGCATACATGTGGTGAAAAGGGGAAACGGGAGGGTAAACAAAAAAAAAATTTTTTTTTACATTATCAGCTAATAGTACAAGACTTAAAAGACGTGGAGTTGCCCGACAGAGAAGCGACGCTGAGCGCGGACGGCCTCTGCAGCCTCCCTGTGTGCACGCGCAAACCGTGCATGGACTGGAACGTCCTCTTCTGCCGAGGCGGCCGTATTGGACGGGTGACTACAGGAAACAATGGTAGTGGTGGGAAGATGCAACGCATGCAGGTACTGACGACGAAGCTCCTTCTCGCGCTCCAACGCACCGCGTAGTCGATCCTCCACCGCTGTCTTCGCCAGTACTGCTGCATGCTTCTCCTCCACTGCCAAATTTACTGCGGTAACAGCGTGGAATGACTCACGTTGACACTTTTGCGCAAAAACAAATAACTCCCAAAGCAAAAGTCGAAACTGCCACTCGGCGTTGTTCACCTCGTCACGGTGTCGCACTTCGTCTTGAAGAAGCTGCTGAAGAAGGTCCTCCTGTAGCTGCGAGCATCTCTGTGCGACGTGCAGCGACTGTTCATGTTCACTGCGAGTTTGCAGTGCCGACCGCGTTGCACACCCCCACCCCTCCTGCAGAGCGCAAAGCATCGACCGAGACTCTGCTTCATGATCAAGCAGACGTTGTCGACATGTCGACTCAAATCGCTGCAGCTCTAGCCTGTGCTCGCCCATCATTGCCGTCAGACATGAAACAGTCGTCTGGTGTCTCTCCTTCTCTTGTCCTATTCGTTCGTGTGCCGCTGCTAAAGCGAGTTCCATAGACACGTGTCGTCCCTCGAGAAAATCGTTACGCTGTGAGTGCTCCTGCAGAAGGGTAGTCTTGCGCAGGAGCTCATGTGTCTGCCCTTCCCACTGCTCTCCTGTGATCTCCGTGTTGTTGGCGGCACTGACGCGAAAAGTTGTTATGGGTGACGTTGCACGTGTGGTCATTGTCGATGTCGTCCATGTCCCAATAGAGCGTTGCAGCGATGGTGTGTGACAAAATATTTTTGCTGGCGCGTTGCCCTCCGTCTGGGTCGACACCGTTAACCGGTTTGCCCTCGTCCACGCGAGTGGCGTAGCATACGGAAGAGGCGGAGGCGAAAGCGCGGGAGGCACAACAACAGCGCCGACGGACTGCTCCGTATGCTCCATGGCTGTGGTTAACGGAAGGGGCACTGCATAAAAATGCAGTAGCCTGGGAACTTCCATCAGCAACTCCTTCCGGAACGAATACGGCGCGGCACGATTACGAGAGTCAGTGGTTGAAAAACTCGACGCGGTGTCACTGCAGTAGTAGCATGACGGGTACACAGAGCACGAACAGCAACTGCACAACGACGCGGCAGAACAAGACTGTGATGATGATGCCGAATGCCTGGCACTGCTGCAGCTGCAGCCACCGTCGTAATCGCTTCGATGTGTCCTCTCAGAGCAGCTGCAACTCTCCGTCAGCACAGAGCAGGAGCACGAAGTGTACTCGCCCTGCATTTTGCTCCAACCTTCCCTCGTTCCCTCCTCCCTCCGTGTGAATGTGTAACGTTCCCGCCGTGTACGCGGTTGCCGGATCTTTACCGCCAACCCCCCTCCACAACAGACCCCCGACCAAAGAGAAAAAATCAGCAGTAACAGGCAGAGCTGAGGGGGAGGCGGACGAGAGGAAAAAAAGACGAGTGACGTCGCCCACAGATAGCTGGAGTCAGGCCGACAGGAGTTGCCTCATTGTATACATATATATGTATATGTATATATATGTATACAAAAAAAAGTGCTAGCAAACACATGTCACCCGCGCGTGTACTCCCACAGCTTTTTAAAAAAAAAAAGAACAGCAAAATTGAAAGAAAAAGACGAGGGGAGCCGGTGACTCTTGCCGCGAGAGATGCAAACAGCGCCGCCTTCTTCCCTCATCTTCACAGACAAAAAAAAAAAGTATCAAGGAAAGAAGGAGATCAAAACAAAACAAACGAAAACAAAAAGGACATCGTTAAACCAAAAATGAGATAAAAGGCTTTGATGGTGATGCGTAAACATACCTCCGCGGCTGTCATACTTCCCCCGTCACCTGCACCACTCGTGTACTACGCAGTGTGTAACGTAGTGACTAACATATATATATGTATGTATATGTATATATGTTTGTGTGTATGTTTGTAGGTAGACCGTTCATTTAGTGTTATTGTTCTTTTGTTCAAAACCCCTACACAACGCGCCTTTTGCTCCTGCATATTGGCCATTTTTTTTTTCTTTCCGTTTTCTTTTTGTGCTTTATATATATATATATATTCTTTTATCGTTGAGAGGTTCTCTACTGTTGTGCATTACACTTCTTTACATCGTATCACCCGGTGTTACCTCTTTGTCCCATCAAACATAATTTAACAGCAATGACACACGTGTGTGGCCTAAACGCATAAGGGGATGAACTAGTAGGTACATAGGCAGGTAAGTAAGTACAGTTTTACGTACTTTTATGAGTCGATGAATGAATGCAGAGAGAGTGTACAAATGTACAGACACAGCAGCAAAAGAATATGTATATGTATCTATACATATCTCACACCACCACCGCAGCACCAGGAAAAGGCCATAAAAAATGTACATATATGTCCATGAAGCCATTTGAAAAACAAAAAAAAACAAAAAACCAAAAACGCGATACTCCTCCCACAATACTCCACACTCACCAGAAACACACAGACACCCAAACAAAACAAAAAGAAATCAAAATCAGAAGCATACGAGAATGCCAACAAAATTATCAGGACACGAAAGGAAAAGAAAATACGTACATGCTGAAACTCATACGAGTAGCTGAAAAGCTGCCAAGGCCCAACCACAAATAACAACATTAACAAAACAAAAAATCGGGAAGAAGAAAAACAAGACCAAGAGTGCAGGAGGTCAGGTCAAGTGCGACCCTCTGATAGGATTCAGAAGCACATCAAATGACTGATGACACAAGACTGCATCGCCGCTTACATGTACTGAAAGTGATGCACTGCATAACCCACAATATAAATAATTTAAAAAAAAAAAAAGACTACGGAAACACATATAATTGATATATACACCTACGCACTGCATTACTACTCACAGCCAGGCATACACAAAGACACCAAAGTAGAAAGATAAAGAGATAAAGCACACGCCAAGAATCAATAAACCATTGCATCGATTGATTTGGACAATTGCGGACAGAT